TGCCCCACTCGCTCCCCACAGGCGGTTTGGGGGGACACACCGCTCACACAGCCAACCCCAGCTGACCGGAGGGGGGGTCATTCCACAGCCCGGCATGCCCGGGACATAAGCGGGGAGTGGGCTGGGGGGGCATAGCTCCTTTGTTAGCTCCTTAACTCCCCTGCTTGCCCACTTGTTAACTCGCTTGTTGGAAGGAGAAGATTAGAAGCATCTAGTGCTCGACCGCAGCAGGAGCTGCAAATCGACGTCCCTTGGCGGTGCTGCTCAGGGACAGGGCAAGTCAGCATCCCTGGTCGCCTTCCCAGCTCCTCCCCATGGCGTTACCTGCAGTATGTGCTTGATGTGCTGCCTCTGGGGGTTGTCACCCTCCGTGCACTCCGTAACGCCCTGAGGGTAACAGATAAGTTGAAGGAGTTTCTGTGCTTGTTTGTTCGAAAGAACGGGATCCAAAATAAGATCTTTGTCCGTGCACAGCCTCTCGGGTTCCTTTAAACAGTGCTCTCCAACCCACTCCTGCAAGTAACCAGACAACAGGTCCACAAGGTAGTTTCAAGGCAAAATTAGCTTTTGGTAAGCTAAACAGTGACTTTCCCATACACAAAACCTGAAGTAAACTACGGTTCCTGCAACACGGGACATCAGAAATGTCTTCTGTCATTCAGTGCCCCCTGCAAGTTGTTGTAACAAGACTGTTGTACAGGTTTTCCAGAATTCACCTCTTCTGTGCTCTGGAAGCAACTCTGCAGTAAGACAAATGCTGTTGTAAAAGCACTCTGAGCACAGCTGAGGGAGTGGTCCTACATCTTCCTCAAATCCTGGGGATTCAGGCAGGAAAAACACCCCCAGTCTGACCGAGTGCAGGGAGATGCTAATACCTAACACGTGTTTCTCCCCCCAGGGACATGCTGCTCAGTGCATAAACTGTCCAAACCAGGAAACCCAAACAGAACTCAATTACTGAGCTGATTTAACAGTCATTTTGCACCACGATCAAGGTTACACACTTCAGGAAAGATAACATTGCTTCTCCAGACGAAGAGAGAAGAGTACTTTCACAGATTACCTGCTGGCAAATCGTTCTCAGCACGTATCGAGCATACTCGCTTAAACTAGCGGTTTCTATGGAAACAGCTTTCCCACATGATTTCAAAGCGTGAGAGGAGCCCCACGCCTCATCCTCATTGAGCTCATCCAATACGCCTCTCACAGGGAAGTCTTCGCTCTTCAAGGTGCTGTTGATGCTGTTGCTCCCAATTTCGGCGTCGCCTGTAGAGCAGAAGCGGAGAAGCAGAGGGTGAACCCGTGCCCAAGCCCCCGTGCCCCCAGACCGCTCACCCGCCGAGGGCCGCCGGCAGAGGCACCGGCCACTGAGGAGTAAAGCAGGAGTAAGGCAGCCGCGTTCGAACGGGCAGCACCAGCCCACTCGGCAGGTCACCGTGTTCAGAGTACTGCCCACTTGCTTCTCCTGGCACAGCACCTTTCCAATGGACCCTTCGGAAGGAGGAAAAGCTTTCTACTAACCAAACACAAATAATGCACCACGTGCTCGACTGGAAAGGTCTGTGAGCGATGGAACTGCTTTGGCTGCTAAGGAAGAGTTGGGTTACTCGCTCTTCTCAGATGTCCCTTCTCCAAGTCTCTCTCTTGCTCTGATTTATTAACACTCCAAAGATCAAGACACAAGTTCTGAGCAGTGGAGCTCAGCCCACCTTACTGTGAACTTCCTGACAGGAGAGACTGATCCCCCTGGGAATGGGAAAGGGCAGAGCACACCGCGGGAGCCCGGCAGACTGGTGAGCCCGTCCTCTCTGCAAGGCACCGGCACGGATCTACGACCACCACCCACCTGAAACCAACAGGTGACCCTGCAGCACCGATTTCTGCTGCGAGCAGAGACCATTTTTTCTACCAGATTCCTACTCCCCAGGCTCCCTCAGCACAGAACTGCAACAGCTATCACATGCCCGGAGAAGCTGGGGATGCCCCATCCCTGGGAGTGCCCAAGGCCAGGCTGCATGAGGCTGGGAGCAACCTGGGCTGGTGGAAGGTGTCCCTGCCCGTGGCAGGGGGTGGCAATGGGGGGGTTTAAGGTCCCTCCCACCCAAACTGCTCTGGGATTCCGTGATTATCTGATGCTCTTCCTCAGCAAACCACATACAGGTTTTAATAACTCACACAGGGTGCCAAGGAGACATCTCCAAATACGATGTTTTGGGTACCGGAGGGGATGTGCTGCAGTGAAGGCACAAATAAACCGTGTGTCCGAATCTTCCTTCGTACCACCCTGCACCAGACCCCATCCCCAACACTGGAGCTGAAACACCAGGTCTTCACGCTACACACCATTAATGAAAACCAGCACACCTCAGCACCCTGAACAGCAGGAGAACATAGATAATGGCCAAAAACCTATTTCAAGCTTGTTCTGGAATTCATCCCAGCTAGCTGACACCTTTCCCAGTGCAGTCACATCATTAAGGACGGCGGGGTTTTTGAGGCGGTTCTGAGACACCAGCCAGGAACAGCACTCTAGCCAGGGGGAGACTGCTGTGGGTACATCCACATCTGGAAGATCTTGCCTCTTCAGCTGGACATTTACTTATCTCCAAAAATACACACTGCAAGAGCTTTACCTGAACTGGGGCCAAACCAAACTCTGAGGCAGTTACTTGTTTGGCAGAACACCACTCTGGTTTGTGGAGAGCCGCTTCGCAGTCATTCTTCTGCAATTTCCACAGCGACACACACGTGATTTGTGGTAAAGAGGTGGGAAAAATTATCTGAGACCGTATTTCCTTTATGTTTGAGAGGGACTCGTCTGTGTTTGAAATGTCCTGGGGCTTGGTCAAAATGTGGAGAAGTCACATCTGCTTAAAGCCTCATCAGCTGGGGCTGACTCACCCCAGAACTCTTGAGCTGGGGGTAAACACTACTCACATGTACAGAAGCAGGGACAGCATCCACATTTTTCTCCTTTCCCAGGAGCATTCCCAGGGAAGCGAACTAGCACGATCTGGTTTCCACCCGGGCACCAGAACACAAACGTGACACGCGTCTCCGCATCGTCTTACCAAGCATCAAAATTGCTTTTAAGACGGCAAACACAGCTCCCACTTCTATACTGTTGTGAGCAGCAGCCAAGAGGTGACGGTCGCAAGAAGAACGAATCCCGGGAAACACCTTCCCTATGGAGAGAAGAGAAGATCGTGCAGAAGACGCTTGTTATTTACCGACTAGAGTTTCCCTCGTACAAAGCCCTTCTCTTCTAGAACGGCCGGAGAAGCACAGTAACCGAACGAAGAGCTGAGTTTTCTGCCACTGAAGAGCCGCAGCTAAGCCATCAAAATCAAGCAGATACGTGGGTGTGGTGCAGCGACACCGTAACAACCAACAGTCATTTGAACAGCCAAAAGCAGCCTGTTGTACTGCTGTGCCCAGCAAGATGGTGAGTGTAACCACAGTGAGACACTGGATCCTGGTTCTGACTTCCCAGATGTAGGAAATTACTCCCCTCACCTAGTCTTATAACAAACGAGGTAAAACCAATTCACGTCAGCGCCTGCTGCACTGTTCAGCCGAATTCTGCAGCTCAGGAGCAGGCTGCAGCGCGGCAGCGAGCGCTTTTTCCAGCTTCAGGGAGAAGATAAACAGACTGGAAGACAGGGAGCAAGGGTGGACCTACCACCTCTTCAGGTGGTTACCTGAGCCGTGGGTAAGAAAGACGGCCCTGTGGTCACAAGTTGTCAGAACTGTAGCGTTCAGACCTCCTTTTCCCTATCCGCTCAAATCCATCTCATGCCTAGGGAAGCCTGGGACCACGTAACATCACGGCTCTCAAATATGCAACAAAAGGTAATTCATTTCTGGGCCAAAAAGCCCCGAATCCTGCTTTCAGAGGGAAGAACTTGACATCACTTAACAGCAGAATTTTGTTTTTCTTTCCCTTTCACCCCCCTGTAGAAACAGCCTTGTCATCACACTTCTAAGTCAAAACACAGGTTATTTCCAGGATGTTTCCTTTTAATTGTTAGGTGCTAGCTCCTTGCCCTCTTCCTTCCTCTTTTGGTCTGTGGCAAACGCACACAGGCCAGACCACGGAATATTCAAATTTAAAAGGAAAGAGAACTACATCAATACACGGTGAGAAGTAGTTTCCTCCCGCTGCTCCTGTCGGACTACGCGCTTCGTTTTACCCTATTTAATTGCAATCTGCATAACAGGTTAGCAAACCGCATGACGTGTCCCCCTGCGAATCACGGGGAGGTGACCCACTGCAGGCACTACACCCTACGGGGGACTGTGGCAGGCAGCACCGCCGCCAACAGCGGCCCTGGCACCAATCCAGCGCCCATGGCTCGCGCGACCGATCCCGTCCAGACCCAGAACGGGAACAGCCAGGACAGAAGAGTCCTTCTGAATGCATGCTTCCCTGCTGAAGGGGACACCGACCCCGCGCCAAAACCCAGCGCTCTTTGTGAAGACGCAGCACCAATACGGCTGCGGTGTATGTCCCACCACACTGCCCCCGGGGGGTCAGGGGTTGGTAGGGGGCAGGTTTCAGCACACTGCTGCAGTTTCACATGCCCGTAAAACGCTTCCCAGACAAGAGAGGACAGTTCCTATCAACCTCCCTCTGGTCGTTTCAAACAGGCTGCCATCTCCACTCGCACTGTGGGTATTTTCACCCTCGAGACCCGAAACCATCAAAACCCATCTGGGTTCACTTTCTGGAATGAAAGGAAGGTGCAGCAGGCAACTTACCTGTTCCCTGGGAAAAGAGGCAGACCTGGGGAGTCCTGAAGAGGTGCAGGAGGAGCCGACAGGTCATCCTTGCCCCTGGCTCGGCATCCGGATCCCCACAGGCTACGGGAGATGATGGGATGTGGACATGAGACATCTGCCCAGGACCTCCCAAATCCCAGTGGCAGGCCTGGAAATGTTCTACCTCACAGCCCCATTTTAGAAGGGAATACAATCATTTCATCAACAGGAAGCAGCAAGTATGGCCATGAGTCATTAAAAACAGGAAAGAATCGTGTGATTTTTGGTAAGCAAGAGATGTCATTAATGGCAGAAAAGAGAGATGGTTAAAGTGGCTTTTGACAGTCAAAGCAGAAAGTGAAATGTGTGAAGTGGCCAACGATGAGGATGTAGGTACAGCCCTGCAGGGCTGGGGGCAAAGACGATGCAGTCGGAAAGAAAATGCCAGCGTCAGGCAGCCGATGGCAGAAGGAAAGGCACACCCTGAGCGGGCCTGCAGACCTGAGAGCGCACAGCGAGAGCAGAGCGGCGAGCAGGAGGCGAGGCTGCGTGCAGAAGGGGACATCGCGCCGCCGGCAGCCCGGACACCACGTGTGGGGCCCTGATGCAACCCTGCGTCGCTCCTTGGGGGAACGGCAGGGGCCGACGCCGCAAGGCACAACAGGTGGCATTCCACACCAGACAGCCGCCTACTCGGCCAGCGGAGACTTCTTCACAAAGTGCTAAGTTTTCTATTTTAAGCTTTTCCCTGGGTATTTTCTTACCAGCTGCAAGAAGAGAAGGTAGCGCAACGTGCTGGACTACATCTTCCAGGGAAAAGCACTGGCGGGCAATCAGTATGGCAATGAAAGTGGCCAGGGAATCGTGGAAGGACAGGTCGCTCACCTCGAAGGAAAAACATTGCCAGGCCTCAGATAAGCGCACTCCCCGCTGCCGGGAGCACTGAGGACCGAACCAAGAGAGTAAGATGTGCACACGCAGGTGTTTCTCGACGCGTTTCAGTACATCTCCCAAACACGTCAGGCAAATACGGACAGCTCTCATCTTCATTTTAACACACGCCCATTTCAAATACCACAAACTGAAATAAAAGCCAGGAGTCTTATAAAAACTTGAGAGAATTCTACCATTCCATGAAAACTGACAACAGCAACACTCCTTCCTCAGCCTCAGGACGAGCGTATGTCCCCAGCGGACACAGCGTCGGTCTGTTCCTAAAGGCAGGAGCAATCAGACCACAGGGCACACATGGAATCAGACACTGGGTAACACGAGTCCCCACAATGCTGCTCACTCTGCCAGGACCCCGGAGTGTACTGCCCCTTCTACAACCCAGAGGCCAAGCCCAAAACAGGGTCTTTAAAACGGAGACAGTTATGTGCACATCCATCAGCGTTTCAGAAGGAGCGCACAGGCACGGCCGCTCCTTTCCAAGAGCAGCTCTGATATCCGTACTGGCCCGGAATAAAGGAAAAAACATATACAGAGAGAACTCCAAGCACTGCCCAAATCCTACATTAACCCCAAAGGTGCAGGAAAGAATAGAAATCAACCAGGAATCTCCAAGAGCCTTGAAACCTCACAGGGATACAGAACTACATCTGTGCTCAGGATTTTGGGTAAATGGAAACCTCACCACCCCCCCGAGCACCCCCTGGCAAACAGGGCAGCGGGTTCTCCAGGAGACAGCGCACTTACATCCACGCTGCAGAGCAGGTCATTGAAACCCCAGACGTGATTCGAGGAGCAGCAGAGCGCCTTTACGACCCCCAGCCACTCTGCGCTGAGCACCGTGCAGCACGCCGTCAGCTCTGCGCAGAGGTTTGCCATCTCGTTGATCCTAGCAAAGAGGAGAAGAACTGATGCAGGAGCACGGTGTTTTGTAAACAATAAACATGTAGGTGGAAGCAGGCCAGTGCTTGGCAGAACTGGGGTTTCCTTACTCTGGGGGGAGTTATCCCAAATGTGATGGTGCTGCTGCACAAACAACCTAGCGTTACTCAGCTGGGGACAACCAGAGCATCTGGGAAAAACCAGTATGTGACTTCACCCCATAACTGCCACTCAACCGTGCCCCCGGAGACCCTGCAGGAGCCCTCCCACCCTCTGCCAGGCCAACAGTACCGGTTAGGAGGGGAGAGAGTCAGGAAATCAACTGGCATTAATGGGTTTTACTCCACAGTTCGTGTGCTGTGTACCGCGGGATTCGGAGTGTGATTCAGAGTTATGTAACATTTTAGAGCCGGAGCCGGGCTGACTCATCCCAGTGCAAGTTATTTTTTCTCTGTATCACAGTGAAACTCGTTTGGCCACATTCAGATGTTCCCCTTTCATTGCTCTTACAAAACTGCTTCCGCTCAGCTGCTCTGCTCTGCCAAGGATGCCCCATGCTTCAAGCACTCACAGATGGTTTGGGCTGGAAGGGACCCTAAAGCCCCCCCATCCCACC